TTAGAGTACTCCAAGTATTAGACCAGAAGTTGCAGTGCACAACAATTTACCTGCAAAAGAAACTATAATTATCCCAGTACCACTTGCTGAATGCTTAGAAAGACCATGATAACCTCAGAGATAATCCCCCAAGCCTTACCAAATCATCCAAGAGCTTTGCTTTGGTTTGTCACTAACAAATGCCCAGCCAGACTCCTCAGCTAACCTCTGGAAAGGCTAAGCCAACAAATGGAGTAGTGCTCCCAGCACCACCTCAACCTGCTCGAATTTCTGCCAGATCCTGCAGCCTACAGAACAAGCTTCCCAGCTCCAGGCCACAAAGAGCCTACACTGCAGTGCACGAAGCATCAATACCAGAGACTCAGGAGCCTCTTCCCCCAACCCGAGTGACTCTGCACAAAAACAATGCTGCAAAAAATTACATCACTTCTTCTGAGCCACTTAGACCTCAAAATTGCAGAATATGCATTTACTACTGTCTAGGAGACCACAGAATTGACCAAAAATGTATAGGGCCAAAGTATAACCAGAACAACCCTCAAAGGACTGCTCTGTTTCCACAGGAGCCAAGGAATATGCAAAACCAAAACCACAGCTCCTGCAGAAAATTGAGGTTCAGAGGTGCCCACTGAGGGACTGAAAATGTGTCTGCAGCTGCTGGGAATGCAGTGTGGGAACAAGTGCTCCTCCTCACTCAGTGTTACAGAGGAGGTTTGCTTAACTGACATGAACAAGAAGCACAAGTAGTCTCTTCATAACAGTCTGATGGGAGTACCTGTTGCTCTGTTAGAATTATTAGCTGCCTTTTGTATCTCACACAGCTTTCCCTGCAGGTATGTGTGGAGCACTGCACTGCTGCTCACTCCAACTGCCACGGCTGAGGAACACAGGGCACCTACACAGCCTGGAACATTTACTTCAAGAATACAAAAACAAAACAAGTTGGCTGTAAAACACTCACAGTTTGAGGTGCTCCCAACTCATTTCAAAGCAACTGATCACAGAAGAGACGACAGGTCCCAGGAGAGAAGGGTTACTACTTAAAATACAAGGATATATTTTTTGGTTTGTGACTGCCTCTGATACCTTCTGTTTGAAGAGGGCAGAAACCACCAAGCAGCACAAAACATCTTCAGTCACACACAACTGCCAGTCCCCTGTCCCTCAGAGGAGATTTAACACACCTTACTTTGCATTCAAGGACCCACTGCCAAGGCAAGCCCAAATCTATCTTGGTTGTACTGAAATGTCCATTCAGAGCCTTCAGAACCCTGAGCACAAGCACTAACCATGGCAGCACTGTCAGCCTAAGCCTGCAGAGACCCCAGGGACAGAGTGCCTGCAGGTTCTGACCTCTATGCCAACTATGATCCCTGCCTTACCAGCAACACGGATCCTCACACACCCATGACCACACTGCATGGAAGGAAGGACTGACTCCAAGCAACACAGTGCAGGGATGTGTAGTGGTGTTCCTAGCACAGCACCAGGTGTGCTCCCTGGGAAAAAGGAGGGTGCTGTTCACACACACTTAGGAATTGCTCTTTCAGTACCAACTGCCATTTCTATAGGATGTTTCTCATTGTCCTGAGAAACAAAACAAACACACAAGTTAGGAAAATGATTGTCTAGTCATTCCAGCTGGCCATAAAAGACAGAATCAGCAGTAGCACAGAACTGTCAGTGCACCACAAAGAAGATAATTCACAAGTCGCAATAGATGACACCCTGAGTGCTGAGAACAGCCCCACGAGGAACAGTTGGGACCTTGAGGAAGCCAGATTTGTCAGCAAGAACACTCCTTCCAAACCCAGCCTTGAGAGGGCATCACACAGCTCCCACAGAACGACAGGCTGCCACTCTGGGGCACCAGGCTAAATGCTAGCATGACAAAACATCTCTCAAAGAACCCCCAACCAGCAAATAGAAGGCAAAAACAGCTATCAGTCTTGCATCCTGAGCTAAGGAGTGGGTGAAAAGCAAATGAGAGTCTAAGTATCACAACCCAGAATTGTTTTTAAAAAAATTAATAGACACTGCCACACTGCACAGCACAGAATGATGTTGCAGTAACCATATGGAGACAAAGGAAGCTCTCACAACAACACAGGAATGTGCAGAGCCATCTCTGTTCTGCTCCCCTGCCAATCACAGCAGGACATTTAAGAGAACCTCTGAGAGACCAGAGCATTAATCCCCTGCACTGTCTGTCTCAGGCAGTCCATGCACTGCCAGCACGAACTGCACTCCAGAACTGCACACCTGACAGGAATGCTGACCTTGCACAATGCAGGCAGAGCACACTGGAGAAAATCTGAGCTGCAGTACAGTAGGTAGAAGATGAACAGCTTAGACGAGCACCTCAGCAGTCACAAAGCAAACCTGCAGAGATCTCTCCAGCATAAGCATGACCACAATGTAGAGCTGAAGGAAATTCTTCAGCTTGCTCATCTGTAAAGGCAGTAAAGATCATACAGGTGTGGGTGCAGAGATGGGCCTGACCACTTCAGTCACTGCCAGGTGCTGTAAAAGGCAGGAGGCATCCCTGTGTCAGTCTCAACTCTTCAAAAGCTGCACTGACACTCATGATGGACTGGCAGGCACTCACAGTTCTCCCCTTCCCGTGCACTATCAACACCCAGATGAACATGACAGAAGTGATGTGAGCAGAAGTCCTGCAGGACACTTGACATTTTGGAATCAGATCAACAGAACCACATGCAGCAGCACTGGACCATGGGGAAATGGTTCCTGTTTTCCCACTAGGAGGAAAAGCAAAAAGCTCCTATCCCAGTAAAGTTTCAGTGCCTGAACAAAATGAGACCCTGAAAACCACCTCTCTGAAAACTCATGGGAAAGAAAGGAAGAGAAGATATTTTGATCATTTAAATACTTTTGGAATATGTAATTAAAAGCTTTCTCAAGTTACAAGATGAAAACTGGACTGGCATGACTTTCAAGTTCAAGGACTTAGCTCCATCTTGCCCTTATCAAACCTCATTCAGAGGTTGGGTCTCATAAAAATCACAAGGATGCAATTAAAAAAAGCCCCAAACTCAAGTTATTCATTCAGCATGGGAAGAACAGGACTACTGTCACTGAAGACAATCTGCAGAAACAAAGCCTCTTACGACAGCCTATTTTCTGATCCTTGATATTCATACAGTTCCATCAATCAAAAAAAAAAAAATCTAGGTCATCAGTATTCCCAGCCAGGATGCAGAAAAAAAAACAGCACATGTTAGGAAACAAAGATTTTCTGCAAAGGATGCAGCATAGCTGGTAAAGCTTCTGACAGGCACTTCGGGAAGAACTTTAATCCTTTCCTACTCCACCCCAAATATCAGTTCATTCCAACTTCAATACCTGTGCAGATACCCTGAAGACAAAGGAGGAAGGGAAAAGCAGTGTTTTTGTGCCCAAAGTGAATCCTGGACTGACAGAAAATGTTAATACCTACACTACTCTAAATTCTGCTTTTTACACATGTTTCCGCACCCATCCACTCCAAACCCACCACATCTGCCACTGAGGACTGGCCCAGCACCAGCACAGATACACTCTCAGCATTAGGATCTTAACCAGAGCATCAAAATTAAGGATTACCATCCAAATCTGCCCTTTGGAAGATACTGTGAAATCAAGTGTTTTTTTCTTGTCTGTAAGTACAGGAAAAGCCTCTCAGCATAGAATCCACTGACACCCACGGGGAAGATGAAGAATTTCAGATGTTAGCTGAGACTAAGGTGTGCCCAAAACTTCTGTTTCTGGGAAATCAGTTATACTTCAAAAGATATGAATAACACATGAAAAGACAGGGAAGGGATTACCAAGGGTTGTGGGTTCCAGTCCTTTGAAAAGAAAGGAGAGCAGGGAGGGAGCACCAGCCAGAGCTCAGAGCATCTGCCAAGGAGAAAAGAGGGGCTCAGTCACCCCACTGGGACACAGGATGAGACACATCCTTGCCCCAGGACCACCCCACGAGCCCCTAGGAGGAGTGGACCAAGAAGGACAAGGGATGGAACCAAACCCAGACTCTCCTACGAGGAAGAGTTAAGCACCTGTACCACAAGTTTCTATACAGGCAAGGGGATAACCTTCCTCCAAGAAAGCTTCCAGGACAGTTTAATGCATACTGTGTTTTCCACATGTTTTAAGGGGACACTAATCCTGATGCACTGCACCTGAGGTACCTTCAGAACAACTGCTACTGGAAAACACCTCAGATGGTGCTAAGCAGTACAACCAACACCCTTGGCTTTCACATCCACATGGTCCTTGCATGTCTCCTGGGGTTTTGCTAGACAGCCACAGCCAGCAAGTGACTGTCTTCCCCATCAACAGTCAGCCCTGGGCAAGGACTTGTTTGCCCCTTTGCTGTGTGGTTCTCATGGAAAGCTCATAGCCCAAGGACAACAAGGAAACAACCAGAGCTCTGCAGCAATTCCACTGCCTGCTCAGCAGGGCAAGTCTTTTAGTTGCTGCTGCAGTCATTACCCCTAACCACTGGCATGCAACAGGAGTACTGAAATATAATTTGCATCCAAATTAATTTCTGTGGAAGCATTTTCTTTCAGCTTGAAGTTCCCATGGGGAGACAGAAGCCAAGCATTAGAACAATAAAAGCCACCCCTGCATGGCAGCAGGGAAGAGCAAGCAGCAGGTACACTGACTGGGCAGTGGAGTGAGAGAAAAGAGTCTCCACAGCCCTGGAAGAGGAGCAAAAAGTGGCCAAAAGAAAGAACTGTATCCAAAAATTTTTCCACTGCTCACAGAATGTTTAACCTCATTTCTGCCAACTGGGAGGCTGCATGACAAACCATGTGCACTACGGAGTGAGAGGCTGCTAACAACACTGTCATGTTAGCATTAAGCTTTTCCAACCAGACCTCTCGAAAAAAGACAGGAAGAGCTTCTTGCCCTTGACCTACAACTGCAGTGGGATGGAGTACCCTTGGCTATGCAAAACCCCCAGCCCACGTGTGTTTCAGGTGACTTACATGACACCTTGCAGGACTTTTTGGGGGTCGAGGTCAAACAATCTGTCCACATAGTGGCGGCTGCTGGCTGTTACCTCCTGCAGAGAGAAAACAAACACACCCTTAGGGATCCATTCAGACTGTGGCAGGCAAAAAACTGGCTAATGCAGCAGCAAGTCTACAAAACCTCTCAGGCAACAGAGGCAGCAAACCCACAGAATGCCATTTAAATGTGCAGTGTATTACTGCTGGGCAACTTTCACACACAGACTTAACCCTGTGTTCAAATGTCACCTAGAGAAGATGAGGTACCTGACGTAGATAACAGCGTGGCAAGTGTCAAAGCAAGTTAACAGAGTCAGTTATCAGCAATGCCTGAAACTGCAGCTTTGTTATACTTAATTACTACACGGAATAAACATGAACTCCTGCCATAGAAAGTTTCTAGGAGCAGTTAGTGCTGCTCAAGGGCCAACCCCACAGACAGGGGCCAGCCCCAGGGACAAGGAAGCTCAGAACAAGCCTTGTTTCTGCACCTCACCTCAGCACAACACATCTACGTGTTCCAGGGCCTGTCCCACACAACCTCCGCACAGACAGCAGCGCAGGACTGCCCAGAACATTCCCAGTGTGCTTTACAAGAGAAAGCAAACTCTTCCCCTCAGCAACAGGACCATGCTTGTAAGCCACACACTTATGCACCACTGATTTGCTATTCTGGAGATGGTAAGCATTCCATAAAACAAGGGTGGGAAAAGGGAAGGGAATTCTCCCTCCAGGTTCTCAGGAACACATGCCAAGGTGCCTTTCCATGAGCTCACTTCCTCTGCTTCTTGCCAGCTCACCTTTCATTAAGCTTTTCCCACTTATGAGTTTTCCTTGAGAAAAGCTATGAGTATTGAAAACTCTTCCTTGCATCAGCTCTGGGGCTGAACCTGCTCCTGCTTCCCCACCCAGATGTCAGAGGCAGCAGTAGCTTCTTGCCTGTAGTCTCAGGCAGCTGAGAGAAGAATCATCCCAAGGCAGCAGAGCTCCTTTGTCTCCAGGAGCACTACTAAATTCTGCCACGTAAATTCTACAGATAAAACCTCCACCATACAATGAAAGGCAATATTTTTGAGAGCAGCATCAGACTTTCAGCACTCTGACCTATGTATTTACCTGGAGAAGTCTCCTAGACATCAGAGATCCCACAGCTTTCTGTTCTACAGTATCCTGGCTCCCACCCTACCAACAACAGGTCTGCAGTATGTAGAATCATGGGATTTTAGGGGTTGGAATGGAGCTTAGAGATCATTCAGTCCATGGGCAGGGACCCCTCCCACCAGAGCAGGTTGCTCAAGGCTCATCCAACCTGGCTGTGAACACTGCCAGGGTTGGGGCAGCCACAGCCTCTCTGGATATCCCACGTTGGATATCGCATGTCCTGTGACATTCCTGGATGTAAAACGCCTCTTAAAAGGGCACTTACGTCCAGGCAAACAAGTTTCCGGGCAGCCCCCAAAATAAAGAATTCATGGACATCACTGGGTGAATATTTTAGTCAGCAAATGAGACGCCCCCAAGGCTCAGGTATCGCTGCCCCTTTGGCACTGGGACCAGCAGCACACGCGGGTGCT